CACTATATTATGGAAAACATATTCTCTGTTAAATTTTGCTTCCTTTCGAAATAATTTAGTAACATTAAAAAAACTGTTTGAACTCATTTTACTTACATATTTTAATAAAATTTAACGTGAAAACATACATTTAAAAAATAAATTTTGAAGTATCATGTCTTAATTTTTCATGAGTATATTTACCTTGGGTAATTTGTAATCTTAGCAACAGTTTTTAGGCCTTATAAATTTAAATCCACCTACTATAAGGATCATTTGTATTTGGTTTAAGTCCAGAGTGTTTTTTAAGAAAGATTTTTTTCTCCAGCTTCAATTAATACTACGTAAGATAAAACAATGGCAGAAATGTTTGCTTTTCATTCAGTTTTCCGTCACCCAAAAGTAGTGTCAAGAATGTTAAATATTTAAGTGACTTACATGGTGAAGTTAAGATTTTTCTACCACACAGATGTCAAGAAATAGTGTGTGCTCATTTGAGTTCGTTCCATGATTCTTGTCAGATGATATTCCTGGAAATGTGTGTCTGTAAAATATAGTTTTTATTTAGTATTCATTTCCTACAGAACCAAGGGCAAAACAGGATGTCTCTCTTGTGGACTTATTTAGAAGAATTGTCTTGATGTAGTTGAAAATTAAAACTGAAATAGTTTTAAGAGGCCCTGAATGAAATAAAAGCTGAATTGTTGATAAGCCAATAAATACCCCTTTTAATGATGACAGGCAAAGAACTTTTACAAAATAAATTTTGGAGCCGAAGGCCTTGAAAAATCACATGCAGCTTGAAAGTTTATTCTTTGTTATTTTTGGTGAAACTTGCTTGGAAGGAGGAAGTAAGCTGCTTCCTGAAACTGAATGAGCTCTTAGAATTGTTGCAGACCACTCAAGACTAACAGAGCAGCACGTGATTTATTATTTGGTACGATTGAATAGGGCAGAATGGGAGTTTGTCTCTCCTTGGCCCAATACAATGAATCAAAAGGTCCTATGTTATGCGGTTATGATACGTATATGATTGTGTTGAAAGTCAGCAGGAAATGAATCTAGATTAGTTGTCTGGCACAGTCACTGGGAATGCTGAACAGATAGATGTTGGGTGCTGATGACAACATCACAAAAGGGCTTGGGAGGGCACCTTTAGGAAGGTTCAGGATGAGTCCAGAAGCTGCCTCTAGAACTGAGTTTGATAGTAACAGGCACTTTCTAAATTACAGACATTATGAAAGATCATCTGATTTTGAAGAGGAAGCTGAAGCTCTGAGTGTGAGGGGCTTCGGTTCATTCATAGTAGTAGGTGAGGAAGAGCTTAGGCTGTTTCCTGACGTGTGCAAATGGTCAGTCGTCTGCAGCAGCTTGTCATGACCACTTGTAGTCATCCTGTACATACATGTGGCCGTACACATGTGCTTCCTTTGGCCTTACTACTAAAGCTTCTAGTTGTGCCTGTATTCCCTTTACCCCAAACTGTATTCAGGCCCATCTTTTTGCTCCTTTAGGGAGACTGAACTTCTGTACGTGTTAATGCCACTAAGTTATTTTACCTTGAGCAATTATTTATCTTAATGTACTTTTTTGACTCTTTCTTTTGTGTATCTCTTCAATCACTTCTTGACTTTAATCTTTTTATCCTCTTTGCTTTTCTGTCTCTTTCTCTTCTTTCTTCATCTTTTCTCTGTTCTTCTTAACCATTTCCTTTTTCTCTCTTCCACTGTCTATCCCCGTTAGTTCTATTTGAGCCAAGAAAGTATCTAATAGTATCTGATAAGCTTAACAGTAGATGATATATCTCCAATAAGAGAAAGGAAAGACCTAAGTGTGTTTTTCTCCAAGGAAACATTTGTTGAATACCTGCCATGTGCTATTTTTAGTGTATAAAATAATCTCTGTTTTAGAGGAGTTTATGATATCTTATTGGATTAAATCAATAGAATTCTTGATATTTTTTGAACTTGTGGTATTTTGTGAATATATGTTCCTTTGCACACATGTATTTCCATTCTTTTTCTGTTAAACTGTTATTTTACAATCAACATTATAACCGAATTAATGGAAATGCAAAGAAGAGAAAGGAGAAAAATTAACTCACAATCCTATTTGTAACAAATTAAACTTACTGTATCTGACAAATATTTGTCAAAATATTTCCATAACCTTTATGCAGTGGAAGTCATTGGGGAAATTTAATTTTGCATTCTTCTTCACTTTATGTTATTTCATAAATGCTTTCTTAGATATAATTTTAAATGGTTGAATAATAATTCCACTTAGAACAGAAGGGAAGCAACATAGATGGAGTACTTACTATGTGCCAGGCATTGTGCATATTGCTCTGTATTTGTCTCATTTTATCCCCATAATAGTTCTATGTGATGAGCATTTTTTTTATTAAAGCATAGTTGGTTATACATATTTTGGGGGTACAACATTGACTACTATCATCTGTGTACAACATGTGTTGATCAAATCAATTTTATTACTATGTTCATTATTACAAATTGTACTTATTCTTTATGCCCCTTATCCAATCTCTCCCCATCCTTCTCTCCCTCCCCACCTCCTGCCTCTAATAACCATGGATTTGTTCTCTCCTGAAAGATTGACATTTGTCTGTTGATTTGTTGCCTAGATGATCTGTCCAATGCTGAAAGAGGGGTGTTCAGGACCTCAGCTATTATTGTAGAGTGATGCTTCTTCTATTGCTCTGGAGTGAGATTTGTAGAGAGAGACGTCCTTTTTTTTTGGTCTCCACTGGTGACTCTCCTGGTATCAATGCAGTTGAGTGTCTGGTGGGCCACCTGCATGATGGCTGTGGCTACTGCTGTGGCATCTAGCTACTTTTGCAGCAGCTATGTCTATGGTGGTGGGCCACCCATGTGGAAGTGGTGTTTTGGGCATGCTCCTTGCCTGATTGCAGATGGGGGGATGGCCCTTGGCTCCTGCCTCAGGACCCCAGGTGGACTCCATGGTGTGCCTCTGTGATGAGTATTGTTATGCCCATTTCATAGGTAATTGAGGCTTAGCTTAGTTCTTGTCAGCTTAGCAAACATTGGTTGAGCTCTGCTATGTTCTAGGTATCATGCTGAGCTTTGGGGATTCAAAGATGAGTGGGACATGGTCCCTCCCAGGAATTCAGAAAATGGTGGAGAAGCAAATGAGTAAAAATATAATTTCAAATGCAGTCTGCCAAGTGCAGTGACATAGAGGAGGGAAACCCGGCCTGGATTAGGGTTGGTCAAAAGGTTTGCTACAGCAGTGCTTCTCAAACTTTAGTGTGCATATGGAGGTACCTGGGGTTCTTGTTAAAATGCAGATTCTGATTTGGAGGGTCTTCGGTGGGGTCTGAGAGTCTTCATTTCTAACAGGTTTCTGGATGATGCTGATGCTGCTGGTCCACATACTTCACTTTGAGTAGGAATATCCTAGAGGATGTATGACATGAACAAATACCAGTTAGCTGGGGAGAGAAATGGGAAAGTGCATTCTAGAGAGAGATGACAGAGTGGGAAAAGATGTGGAAGCATTAATAAAGTGTCTTAAGTGGATAAGCTACTTATAATATGTGGTAAGTGTTGGCACAGTACAACTTGCTAGCTAAATCCAGCCACAGCCCAATTTTGTGCAGCCCGTGCTGAGAACAGTTTTTTTTGTGCTAAGAACAGTTTTTACATTTCTAAAGGGTTGAAAACAAAAACAAAAACAAAAACAACCCAACTTGTGATAGAGAAGCACAAAACCTAAATATTTACTATTCAAACCTTTTACAGGAAAAGTTTGCAACCCCTCATCTAGGGTATTGGTGGTATTGGTGGAGTGTAAAATCCAGGTGGGGCATAATGGAAAGAGGCTGGGGTGATCACCGTGGGATGCAGAGGAGCCTGGCCTTTATCTTTGAGGACGTAGGGACCCAGGAGATTTAAGGAGGGGAATGTCAGGCTCAGGTTTTTGTTTTACGAAAATCCTTCTGGCAGGATATAGATAAAAGGGAAGCAACGTTGGAGGCAAAGATACCAATTAGGAAGCCTGAAAAACGAAGCCAGATGGAGTCGGAGGGATGGATTTGAGAACTGTCTGGGACAGTATTCTTCATTCTTTTCTGACTGCAACCCATAGGAAGATAAATATTTTATATCATGACCCAAAACACGTAGGCACATGCACACACAAGGCAAAACTTACCACAAAACAGTACTTGCCTTTGTTGCGGATAAACTCAAATGTTTTTCATTCCATTCAAAAAATGCTGTTTGCTATCCACTAAGATGATTTAATGATGGGCCATAACTGACAGTTTGAAAAACACTGATCTAGAGAAGTAAAAGCAGCAGGATTTTGTTATTGATTTGATGTGAGGGGCTGGGGAACAAGAATGCTGGCAGGGGTGAATGTGTAAATGGTGGTACCCACCATTTGGAGGGTAGAGACGATTCATTTTTGGACATGTTGTGAGAGCACTGCAGGATACTAGGGTTTTCTAGAAGATTTACTAAGCTTTTCTGGCTCAGGTGGGAGATTCAACCATTGTTTGTAACATTATCAGTGTTCTAACGGGAGGAAGCAGCATGAATTTCAAATAATTGGCTTATGTAGAAAATTTGTAAATTGGGGAATAACTTGTACACACTACTTTGAGATGTTTGTTTAGTGCTTGCATGTTCAGTAAGATTAATGTTCTGATATATTGAAATATTTATCTGACGGAGAGTAATCAGATCACAATTAGTTTGTGTATGGTTATGTATGTGCAATTTGCTTTAGTTTTGTATACAAGTATACTATACATTAGGGGGTTATCCGTTTTTGATTCCTGTATTTATTCTAGACTGATATAGACTAGTGGCATTTTATCCATACTCCTCTCCCCAACAGTAGGAGATTCTTTAAAGATATGCACTTTTGGAACTGTAAAGAATATTTCCTAAGTTGACCATATCAGGGTAAATAACATAAGTATGTTAAGAAGTTATTTTTTTTTTAACTAAGAAAAATTTTTTTTCCTTATATAGATTGAATACCTGCTTAAGAAACTTACAGAAGCTATGGGAGGAGGTTGGCAGCAAGAACAATTTGAACATTATAAAATCAACTTTGATGACAGTAAAGATGGCCTTTCTGTGTGGGAACTTATTGAGCTTATTGGAAATGGACAGTTTAGCAAAGGCATGGATCGGCAGACAGTATCTATGGCAATTAATGAAGTCTTTAATGAGCTTATATTAGATGTGTTGAAACAGGTAAGGATCCTGTAACACTGTATTTTTTCTCATCTTTAAAATTTGACATTTTGAAATTAATAGTATTTTCATCACCAAGATGAGCATAAGTCACTTATACACTGATTTAGAATAGGAATAAAGTTGCATATTTCTCCAGTCTTGCACTGGGCTTTCATTTTAAAGAATTGGGGCAATTTTAAAATATAGTTAAGAATTAGGAAGTTACTATTTTGAAAGAACTGTTTAAATAATCACATTTCCAAACTATTTGTAATGTACCTTCATATCATGTGCACATCCATACCCACTGATCTGGAAAGATCCCTATAGCATATTGTTCAGTGAAAAAAACAGGTTGCTGGACAGTAGGTGTCCTGTAGCCCCTTTCATGTAACGTGAGGTATGTGTGTAGAGCTGTCTGGAAGGATGCTCGCCAAAATGTGACTGCCTCTCGATTGTGGGATTTTGGTGAATTTTATTTTATTCTTTATTCCTTTATGTTTTATTGGACTTTCTATGTGATTTTATATTATTTTTCTAAAATTAGAAAAATACCCTTACTTCTGGAAAAAGAACTACCTTTATTATAACAAAATTGCATTTGTCTTAATTAGACTATTGTCTTTGTTTTCTCATCACCCAGCATAATATCTGATACATGAGTACATATGGGAAGCTTGGTGCTCATTAAATAGAATTCTTTTTGGTGGATCTTTCAAACTTTGTATGTTATTATATTGAATAATAACTCTGATTTGGGATTTCCTTACTTTGCTCCTTTCTTTGTTCAGTTGGTGATATTGTTGTCTTTACTCTTTTTTCCCAGTGGAGCCTGTCAATAAACATTAATTGAGGCTTAATTTGTATAGGTTTTTGGTGCTACAAAGAGGTATGAGACATAGTCTCTGTCTGAAGAGGACTTCTAGGCCCATTACTATGGCAGGATATAGGACTACAGTTGAATTGCAGTATGAATAGCTTTTGCTTAAATGTCCGAAGATTAGGAAACTGAACATGTAATATGATTAGAACTTAGTATAGTAATCAAATGAAACCTACAATCGAGTTACTGTTATATGTTTAATGATATGTATTGTCTGCCATAGGCTATCAGCACCTGTTGATTTAATATTAAAAGTAACAGCTATTCTCATATAATCTTGAAAGGCTTTGGCCCATAATAAAGTATAATTTTGCTAAAGTAAAAATTTGTATTCCATACCTTGGAGGCTAATATGTGGGGAAGGAAGTACAGGGCTAGTCTGAGCTTAGGAGCCAGTATCCTAACTCCTGGTCCAGTATATTTTCTGCTCATCTGGAACAGAGTTCATCCTCCAGAATAGTGAGAGTTCAGTTAGAAAGGTAGGTTGGTACCGGAGGGTGGAAATCCTCGAATATTTGGTTGAACAGATACACTCAGCCAAGCTGACACCTTTTAGTATTTTCATTGATTGAGGTTTTAATTTACTGAGGATCACTGCTAGGCATTCTTTTTTTTTTTTTTTTTAAAGGGAATAGACAAAATAGTATAATGAACTCCCATATGCCCATCACCCATCCCCAGTAACCACCAACATATGGCTAATCCTGCCCCATCTACTTTTACCTCTCCTGTATTATTTTGAAGCAAATCCTAGATATTTCATTTTATCTATAAATATTTCAATAGGTATCTCTAAAAGATAAGGAATTTTTAAAAACCCCATCAAGAGAGTTCTAAATCTATTATCTGTGTATCACTTTGGGAATGAAGTTATCTCTGAAGTGTCTGAAATTATATGCAAACTTTTGTCTGCATGTGTTTGCATGAATTTGACCAAATATAGTGTCCCTGGTCTTCATAGATTCTCAAAGGGTCCATGAACCACAAAGCACAAGGCTATTGATATTCATTTATTCAGGACCATGTATCAAATAATGGAGTAGGCAAGAATATCAAAAGTGACATATCAGCCCTTACAAATATAAGGACAAACACTTATATCAGATTTAATCTTTCATAGGGTTACATGATGAAAAAAGGCCATAGACGGAAAAACTGGACTGAACGCTGGTTTGTACTAAAACCCAACATAATTTCTTATTATGTGGGTGAGGATCTGAAAGATAAGAAAGGAGACATTCTCTTGGATGAAAATTGCTGCGTAGAGGTAAGTCTATTGTTCTTTGCAAGATTACCAGGTGCTGCCCCCTGCTGCTGAAGTAGTTTCTTAACTTCTTCCTTCTAGACTCTAGATCCTTAAGATAATCCCAAATTTTACATTTCCAAAATAATATAGTCACACAGTCGCCATAGTTTCTGAACCAAAAATTAAAGGTAGCCGACAAAATTTTTTTCTAATGTGAATTTATTTTCAGTCTTATACTCATGAACAAAGTATAGTGATTAAGTCTAATTTATTTGAACATTTAAGAAATCATTTACTGAATAAAATGAAGTTAAAAAATAGATTATAAAGTAAAAAAAAAATTCAGTAAGACAATATTTAAAATCATTAATATACCAGAAAATCTGGGATATTTGACTACAGTAAATAAAAGAAGATCAGCTCAGTTGGTTAGAGCACAGCCTTATAACACCAAGGTCAAGGGTTCGGATCCCTGTACTGGCCAGCCGCCAAAAAGAATAAAAATATAAAAGAAGATCTGAACACTACATTTGAATACTTTAGGTGCTTTTCAGGACACTTTATTTATACCTACTAATTCTGTAAAGAAGTAGTTTTCAAGAATATACATTTTTGAGTTTTTAATTTTTTTTTTTTTCCTTTTTGTCTTTTTTCGTGTCTGGCAACGGATCGCAACCCTCAGTGTCGCGCCCGTACCGGACCGGGACCGGCAACGGGATCACAACCCTCGGTGTTGCTCCCACACCTCGCTCAGCCAGTGAGCGGGAACCGGTCTGTATGTGGGATCCGAACCCTCGGCGGGAGCGCCACCGCACTCCCAAGCGGCGCACTGTAGCAGTGCGCCACCAGGCCGGCCTATAATATATTTTGATGAATGAGATGGTATAGATATATTAATATCTTGGGGTGTGCAGTGCGCATGAAGCAGTCTTCTTAGATTCAACTAAACAAGGAGACCTACAAGATTACCATAGGCCATACCAGTCTACTCATAAAGATAGAGGACAGGAACCACAGGTTGCCAGCAATAACACCCCAGATGCACGGAGAGGAAGCCACATCAGGCAGGTGTAGAAATTACCCTGGCTTAGAAGTCTCATGTTCCATAGGAAACAATTAATATCTCTTGTAACAACTCCACAGATGTACCTTCTAGAGTTCCTGCAAGGGACGTGCTCAGATATAAGAGTTGCTGCACTCAGGAAAGCCCAGGGCCTGGCATCCCTGTCAGTTGTTTATAGTTCTCCCAGTCCAGATGTAGTGTACCAATCTGGGGTCATTGTTACCATAAATAATGCTGCCTAGCAGACAGCATTAATAAATCAGTAATATGCATTTATAGGTATTTTTCATTAACATTGAGTTTCAGTCAGACTTGTATAAATAGTTAAGATTAATTTAAATACTAATAGCTTTAAAGAACTAATTTTGCTTCCTTTTTTAGTCTTTGCCTGACAAAGATGGAAAGAAATGCCTTTTTCTCATAAAATGTTTGGATAAGACCTTTGAAATCAGTGCTTCAGATAAGAAGAAGAAACAGGAATGGATTCAGGGTAAGATAATTTTTATTATTTACTATGCAATAACTTGAGAGCTCTGACTTTCTATTTTTGGATCTTATGAAAGATGCTAAGGCATTGTTTCCTCATTGTAGTTATTTCTGTGTATGACATACATAGTAGCTGAAAGAAAAACAAATTAAGATGAGTTCTCAAAATTTTCATCAGTTTCATTTGCATAATGAACTTGTCTATGGTTATTTCTGTGTGACATACATAGTAGCTGAAAGAAAAGAGTTCTCAAAATTTTCACCAATTTCATTTGCATAACGAACTTTGGAAATTTTCAAGGCGAGATTTTAGGTTTTATTTACTATTTTATTTTTTTTTTTAAAGATGACCGGTAAGGGGATCTCAACCTTTGGCTTGGTGTTGTCAGCACCACGCTCAGCCAGTGAGCAAACCGGCCATCCCTATATAGGATCCGAACCCGCGGCCTTGGTGTTATCAGCACCGCACTCTACTGAGTGAGCCACGGGCCGGCCCAGGTTTTATTTACTATTTAGAGAGTACAGAATTTCCCCTTTTAAGGATAGTGAAGAATGTCAAAGTGACCATCTTGTGTTTTCGGTAATATGTAAAACAGGAGGAATTATGCAGTTGCTTTTGAATACTTCAAGTGATTTTAAAGTTTCATTACTTCCACAAGAAATCATTAGTTTCAAATAAGTATCTCAAGAACAAAAACGTTTGAGTTAATAACTTTTAAACTAAAGTTTTACTTTATTCCAAAATTAGTATAGAACTATATATGTGATTTTTGTTTTTTAATTCTGAAAAGGGATTCTGAATATTCTATTCTTAAACATAAAATTATGTTATATTGGATTTTGTGGTCATTTTGATGTAGTTCAAGAGTTTGAGGCAAGTCTACCTGGGTTTGAATCTTCTTTCGTGGGTCACTTGATTTGAGTTATGATTCTGTAGCTGCTTTCTTCTTCTGTGAAATGAAGATAATAATAATACTTACCTCTCAGGGTTGTTGTGAGGGTTAAAAATTAGATAATTACAGATGTATTTGCACGTTTTCAAAATGACATATCATTGCAGAAATGTTTGTGATAGATTGCAAATAACCTAACTGTCCATTAGTTGGGAAATGGTTGAATAAATTATGGGATATAGTTACACAGTGGCATACTATGAGGTTCTTTATGTGCTAATATGGAAAACTCTCCGAGATAAATTAAGTGAAAAAACTGAGGCTCAGATATCCTTTCATGCTTTTCAAATTTGAATGTGAAAATATTACCTATTCAAGAAATTAAGTAATGAAAAATATCAGGAAAAAAGATTTCATATGAAAGATAATGCATGTAAAGAATATACATATTCTATATCCTTTAGATGCATCATAGGAGTGGAGTATGTATGAGTGTTTTTAATAAATGGCAGCTACTGTTACCTGTTATCTTCTCAGAAAGGGAGTATATAAGGAGGTGGTTTCATAAGGCGTAGATGAGGGGCAGACTAAACTCAGCAGGTCGCAAATCATATGTCAAGAAACTTTAATTTCTGCCCTTACTGTGTCTTATTCTTCTTTGGCTTTTTGAGAAGTATAGAGAAAAGAGTTGAAAGTGTTGTCATAAGTTCTTAAAGTGTGTGCAATATTTCTGAATCAATTGTGTTACTTTAAGCACAGATACACAGTTTTAGAATTTTGGAGTTGGAAGAGATTCTCTCTTTCATTTTATAGAGGAGGAAACTGATGCTGCAAGAGGTAATGTGACTTGCCCATGATCACACCACTATTCACTGGTAGAGTCAGAATCTATACTGGGTCTTCTGACTCCCTGCCTGGTTTTCTTCCCACTGTACCATTTGCATGATAGACTTACAAAGAATAAAGAACATTTTCCATTTTTTCTCCTTCACTTTTTTTAGCCATCCATTCTACTATCCACCTGTTGAAGCTGGGAAGCCCCCCACCACACAAAGAAGCCCGCCAGCGTCGGAAAGAACTCCGGAAGAAGCTGCTGGCCGAGCAGGAAGAGCTGGAGCGACAGATGAAGGAGCTCCAGGCTGCTAATGAAAACAAACAGCAGGAGTTGGAGACTGTGCGGAAGGTGGGAATGGGCGCTGGGCTGGATGAGGGCTCTCCATTTCATTTTGGAAGCCACAGCTACTTTGATTTTACCAGGACTAGGTTAGTGCAATTTTAGGGAGATGTTTTTGATGAACTCTCCTCTCAGGAGTGTATCTGGACCACTAGGTGAGACATACTGGTTTTCCAGCCTTGCAAGTATAAGGATCTCAGGGCAGCAAAAACATCTCATTGACTAGGAAGGCTATTTATATGAATAATGAACACATTTTGTCAGAGAAAGATGGGAAATCTCGTTTCCCCGAGAATGTTAAGGGCATTTTTGGTGATAGGGGCAGGGTCTGTTGCTTTTTTAGTTTTTTCCCTTTAGCTCCTATCTTCATTCATAAGACTCATAGTGCAGAACATGGGTTTACTTACTATTTGGAGTCAAAGATACAGTCTGGGTCTGCTTCTCCTTCCATCTCAAGGCTAGGAGATCAAATACCATAGGCTGTGTAAGTTTGTTGACGTTCACTAGGAAACCTTGCTCCTTGGTTATGTCATGGTTCTGGGGGTCGTAGTGAGTCTCCCAGTGTGTGAGCCTGGTCTTTATTTGGGACACCTCTAGGCTGATCCTGTCTGCCTTGAATCAGTAAGCACCTGCTAACCACAAGCTCAAAGACCCTTTTGTGCCCTCCCGTGTAACACCTTTGCCTTGGGATGTGGGAGTGGCTCATAGTCCGGGACCCCACAATACTGATGGGGTTCTGTCTTTGCAAACCATGGAAATGCCACACTTTGTGCTGAGCTTCCTCTGCGTAGACTCATAAAGAAAGATTTTAAAAGGTACTTTTATTATCTTAGGAACCATGTGGCATACAATCTTAGAAACAATTGTTATTATCCAGCACATGTACTTTCTAAAAGCAGCTCCTCAGTGCTTATTGCTCTTCCCCCACAAATCACTCTTACATCTTGCCTCTTTCTGCTGCAATATATTTTCTTTAAAAACTCTCGACAGGCTAGGCTGAGCACCTGCAGTATGTGATCACTGCTTCCTCCCTCCACTGTGCACACATCAGAAGCAGATATTATGTGGGTGGGGGTGAGGTGGGGAGCTGGGGCTTGGTGTCCTTTTTAATAATTTGTTAAAATTATGAAATAGGTCATACCTGCAGAGGAGAGAATGAAATATATGTATACAAATAATCATACGGTGAATACCCATGAAACTACTACCCAGGTTAGGATAGAATATTGCCAATATTTTAGAAACTATTTTTTTTTCTTTTTAACTTTTTAAGATTTGCAAACAGTAAGATTCACGATCTCTGTATAGTTTTATGATTTTTTGTATGTGCCTACATTCTTGTAACTACTACAAGCAGAATATAGAACAATTGTGATGTCCCAAAGAATTCCCTCTTGCTTCTCCTTTATGTTCAGATTTTCCCCTCATCCCTGGAAACTGCTAATTTGTTCTCTGTTCCTATATTTTTTCCTTTTGTAAATTGTCATATAGGTAGTATCATACAGAATATGTTTTAAAAACTGGATTCTTTCACTTAGCATCATGCATTTGACATTCATCCATCTGATGCCCTTTTACACTCTTAAACTCTTTTAAACTCTGCCTTCCAGGAGCATGTAAGTTACCTGCTATGGGTAATGTGAATGTATGCGTGGTGTTGGCAAGGAATATACCCAGATAGCTTTCCCACTACCAAGGATTATAGAATTATTCAAGTGACAGATCTAGGATTCTTGGTTAAGTGCTGGAAAAATATTATAGATCCCTTAATCTTTGATTTTCTTTTTATTGTCAATAAATACAGTTTTCCAGTTTTTCATTGAAGCATTCTTAGAAAAACACTGCTTAGATGAATATTTTAATCACCTGACATTAGATTACATATCTGGGTTTTTAAGACTTGACAGACTTTATTTAATCTGAAGGAATACGAAATCATGGTAGTTTTTATAAGTTAATAAATTTGTTTAAAGGGTTTGCCCAAATGTTTTTTATTTCTACTTTTGTTTCTTTTAAAAAATATAATCATTTGAATAGGTTCAAAAATTTAAAAATATAAAAATTTCTCTTTGTAGAGAGATCTTTCACCTCCTTGGTTAAATTTATTCCTAGATATTTTAATTTTTTGGTAGCTATTGTAAATGGGCTTGCTTTCTTGATCTCTTTTTCTGCTAGTTTGCTATTGAAGTATTAAAACACTACTGATTTTTGTGTATTGATTTTGTATCTTGCAGCTTTACAGAATTCATTTATCAGCTCTTAAGAGTTTTTTGGTAGTCCTTAGGTTTTTCTATGTATAGAATCATGTCATCTGCAAACAAGGACAATTTGACTTCATCTTTTCCAATTTGGATGCCCATTATTTCTTTCTCTTGCCTGATTGCTCTGGCTAGTACTTTTAGTACTGTTAGATAGGAGTGGTGAGAGTGGGTATTCTTGTCTTGTTCCTGTTCTTAAAAGCTTTTCCCCATTCAGAATAATATTGGTGGTGGGTTTTCATATATAGCTTTTATTTTATTCATATATTGAGATACTTTCCTTCTATACCTAATTTTTTGAGTCTTTATGAGGTATGGATATTGAATTTTGTCAAATGCTTTTTCTGCATCTGTTCAGATAATTATATGGTTTTTGTCCTTGATTTTGTTGATGTGGTATATCACATTTATTGACTTACGTGTGTTGAACCATCCTTGCATCCCTAGGGTGAATCCCACTTGATCATGGTATATAATCTTTTCAATGTACTGCTGTATTCTGTTTGTTAATTTTTTGTTGAGGATTTATGTGTTTATCTTCATCAAGGATATTGGCCTGTAGTTTTCTGTTTTTGTTGTATCTTCATCTGATTTTGGTATCAGAGTGATGAAGGAGTTTGGGAGAATGGCCTGTGTTTCATTTTTATGGAATAATTTTAAATGGATTGGTATTAGTTCTTCTTTGAAGGTTTGGTAGAATTCAGCAGTAAAGCCATCCAGTCCTGGGCTTTTCTTTGTTGGGAGACTGCTTTAATCTCATTGCTCATTACTGGTTTATTCAGATTTTCTATTTCTTCTTGGTTCAGTCTTGATAGTTTGTATGTGTCCAGAGATTTATCCATTTCCTCCAGGTTTTCTAATTTGTTGATGTGTATTTGTTCATATTAGTCTCTAATGATTCTTTGTATTTCTGTGATATTGGTTGTAGTGTCTCCTTTTTCATTTTTGGTTATTTGGGTCTTCTCTCTTCTTTTTTAGTTAGTCTAGCTAATAGTTTGTCTATTTTGTTTATCTTCTCAAAAAACCAAATTTTTGTTTCATTGATCTTTTGTGTCTTTTTTTTTTTTTTTTTTTTTTTTGGTCTATATTTCATTTATTTCTGCTCTGATCTTTATTTCTTTTTGCCTACTAATTTTGGGATTGGATTGTTCTTGTTTTTCTAGTTCTTTGAGATGTAACATTGGGTTGTTTATTTGAAGTCTTTTTGTTCTTTTGATGTAAACATTTATTATAATAAATTTTCCTCTTAGTACTGCCTTTGCAGTATCTCACAGGTTTTGGTACAATATATTTTTATTTTCACTAGTTCCAAGAAAGTTTCTGATTTCCTTTGTCCTCTTTAAATTCTTTCAGCTGTATTTTATAGAAATAGGTAAGCATTGCAATGAAAACAAGCAAAGGATGTGAACAGGCATTTTACAGGAAAGGAAATATGTATAGTCAATATACATATATGAAGAGATGGTCTACCTAATTATTGATTAGGGAAATGCAAATAAAGAGAAAATTAGATACCGTTTACACCCATTCAAGTTCGCAAAAGTTAAGAAGTCTGACAATACCAAGTGTAAGAGAAGATGCAGTTCAACAGGAGCTCTTCTATATTGCTGGTAGGAGTAGAAATTGGTACACCACTTTGAAAAATAGTTCAGCATTATTTTGTAAGGTTTAATTAACATTTACACAGCATTTGACGAGTGATTCCACTTCTAAATGTGTGCATGTGTGTATGTAATATGTACTTTTGCATCAGAAGACATATGCAAGAATATTCATGGCAGTACCATTCATGATAGCAGAAACCTGGAACAACAACCCAAATGACAATAAACAATAGCAAGAATATAAAAGTTGTAGTTGCATTTACCCAAAGGAATATTACTATTAAAAACAACTACAGACACACACAACAATATGAATGAATTTTAGCAATATATATTGACTGAAAAAAATACCAAAATATTATATATGACAAGGCGTTTTTATTGAGTTAAAAACAACTAAAATTAAACAATGTGCCTTTTGGAACATGTATAGACAAAACTATAGTTTTAAAAAAACAAGGGATTTAACTTAAACACAAATTTTGGTTAGTAATTATCTCTGTAGGAGAAAGTAGAGAATGGGGTAAAAGAGCAGCTCATAGCTAAATACAAGTTATTGTCAATATTGTAATTCTCATTTTGGGTGATCATTCACTTGCGTTTATTATTTTAAAATAACTAAATGAAAGAATAAAAATATAAAAATAAAATAAAGATACAACAAGGCATTCAGTGAAAAGATTTCCTCCTGCTTCTTTCCTCTTTCCACATAGTTCCCACCCCTTGCCCAAGGTAAGCAAATATGAGTATACATTCTTATTTTCTCATGTTTTTTTTAATTTTATTTTTTAAAAGATGACTGGTAAGGGGATCTTTATCCTTGGCTTGGTGTTGTAAGCACCACACTCTCCCAAGTGAGCCACAGGCCGGCCCTTTCCCATGTTTTAAACACACAAAAGTACATACTCACCTCACTCTTCTGCATCTAGTTTATTTCACTTAATATATATATATATATATATATATATTTTTTTTTTCCTTTTTGTCTTTTTTCGTGACCGGTAATGGGATCACAACCCTCAGTGTCATGCCCGTACTGCGACCGGCAACGGGATCGCAACCCTCGGTGTCGCGCCTGCACCGCGCTCAACCAGTGAGTGGACCGGTCTCTATATAGGATCCGAACCCTCGGCGGGAGCGCCACTGTGCTCCCAAGCACTGCACTCTACTGAGTGCACCACCGGGCCAGCCCTGACCCATACTATTTTAATGAATCAATGTATTTTGCCTGCTAACCTACTTAGCTGTTATCATCGGCATAAAATTGCTACCAATGAATCAACACAAATAATTCTTAGTTGAAAAGTGGAAAAAGAAGCGCTGCCACCACGCTCCTAAGCGCCGCACTCTACCGAGTGCGCCACCGGGCCAGCCCACACTTAATATATTTTTGAGATCTTTTTATATCAGTATAAAAGTTCATAATGAAGCGCCGCCACGCTCCTAAGCGCCGCACTCTACCGAGTGCGCCACTGGGCCAGCCCACACTTAATATATTTTTGAGATCTTTTTATATCAGTATAAAAGTTCATAATGAGGACTCAAAGAAGGGCTCTTCCCCTAGTTCTTTCTGTCAGACTTTTGGCTGGTATATGGTTTACTGTGTTGCTCTCATAGAGCTACCATCCTTTTAATTCCTTACAAAATCTCCACTGTTTTTGAGAGTGCCCTTAGGCTTGTACTTCCTCACACTTTCGAATAAAGTCAGTTCTTTTGGGGACAGCAGCAGAGCCTGCCTTTCTTCCTGGGCGAAACCTCTGTGCAGTGTTCTAGAGCTCGGGATGGAGATAGTGGTCTGCTTCTCTTGGAGTGATACTCCTGCTTTATGAGCCTGTCACTGGGTGGACATGGTAGGCTTTGTCTTCTCCACTTGCCTCTCCCTGTGTGGAACTTCTGCCTCACAAGTGAGTTGGGACAAGGGTGATGAGGCCTAGTATTCTCTGCCTGTCATAGTTGGGGTAGAGCTTCCACCCTCTGGGTGGTGTGTGGGGCTGGTGGAAGAAGAGAGCCCCAGATCTCTCAGACACCCTGGCCTGGAATAGCGTTTCTGCAACATGGAGCTGGGCAGGATGAGAAATACTGGCAGCCTGCCCCTCCTGGGGAGATACAGTAGCCCTAAACTGTGAGCTGAGAGAACCCTTGTTCTTGGTTCCATCTGCCAGGAGCAGAGCTTCCTTCTCACTGACATTATGTGGAAGGAGGAGGGGAGTGCATTGTGCCTCAAAGCATCTCACTATTCTTACTGAGGTTTAGTAGATTTTCTTATGTAAATGTTCTTTATTTGCTGTATGCCCTTAGGATAATTTCTAAAGACTTTAAATGGTTGTTTTTGGTTTTTTTAATTAAGATATTTTTCACCAGTTATTGTTGTTTTGCTGAGGAAAGGGTCCACAGAACTCTTTATGCCACCCTTCTGGAAGTTGAGCTCTGGTAAAAGTTTTAAGGAGTAATGTGCAGGATGACAAAACTATATAGAAAGAGCTCAAGAAATAGCTCTCAGACCTCATGAATGCAGTTACAAACGTATTTAACTCAATGACTATACTGAAACCTTCTTTGCAAGATGTTGTCCAGACTTATCAATAGTCATTCACTTCCCTAATTTGTTTTGTATGTTAACTGGACAAAATGTTGGAATGGAAATCCAGTGGATCTAAAAGTTTTTATTCTATCTTTATTGAATGTTAAGAGTGTTTGGCTTCTCCCATATGCTTAAGTGTGACCATCTCTCTCTCTAATGTACTTCCACTGTAACAATCCTGCTTTTCTGTGGATGGGTTTTTGATTGGGTAGAAACTGGAAGAAGCAGCATCTCGTGCAGCAGAAGAGGAAAAGAAGCGCCTTCAGACTCAAGTGGAACTACAAGCCAGGTTCAGCACAGAGCTAGAGCGAGAGAAACTCGTGAGTACCACGTGGCTGAGAAAGCTGCTGCACTAGCTCCCAGAGCCAGCCCAGGTGGTAGAAAGAGGCCGTTTTATCAGCTTGATGCTGACTTGCGGTGGACCACTGGGGAAGTTATGTGTTTGCTCATTCATTCATTATTTATTGAGTACCTTCTATCTATAGGCACTGTGCCAAAGATGTAAAAGTAAAAGACATAAATCCCCTAAATAGAAATTTATAGAATGGGGTGATAAATGCTTGATTATGGTAACTGTATGTCCTGGTTTGCCTGAGACAGTCCCTGTCATCCTGATATAATAAGCACTAAAAATGTCTCTTTTCATTCTCGGAAGAGTTTTGGTTTAGAGAATAAATAGCTGTGGAAAAAGTAAACATAGGTTCCATGACATTGCTCCTTTGTAATGAGCAAAGTGGGGGTTCTGAAATCGTGAGGACATCTGGATTCTGGTTTGCTGCTCTTGGCAGCTCTGATTCATCTTAGAGGCTCCCATCCCCAAAAGACCCAGGATCCAGGTTGCTTGAGGTAAGTTAGCTGGTTAATTGGAACACAGGTCTTCTCACATTGAGTGACGCTCTGTGGGAGAGTGCTGAACCCAGTACCTAAAGAGATGCTTGTGACATTTCCTTTAGTCACTTTTTGTTGCTTAGAGTTGAGAGAGATGTGTTTGTGTTATGAGAGAACAGCACACAGAGGAAGGCAGATGTGATGTAAAGAAGCAGTGCTACACATTCACTGCCAGAAGATCTGGCCTGTTCCCTCTCTGCTCCTTCTTACTGAGCTTTAGTTTTCCTTCTTTAAATTAGAGTATTATCATATGATCTCTCCTGACTCTTTTGAGGATGAAGTGAGCTAATATGAGTGAAAATATTTTGTAAACTGCAGAGACATACGTTAATGTGTATGATATTATATTTAGGATGTCCTTGTCTTTTAATTTTTAAGGCAGGGGTTCAAAACTCTTTCATTCAGAAGGGAAACCATAAATTTGTTAAGACACTAACTTAAGTGTATGAGTTCCCCCAGGGCTGGAGGTGCCCTAGGGAGGAAGAAGAGGACGGATGGAGGCACCCAGGTGAATGGGGAGTCCAGGCTAACCTTTCCTTTTCCCTTTAACACTTTGCGTTAAGACACTAACTTAAGTGTATGAGTTCCCCCAGGGCTGGAGGTGCCCTAGGGAGGGAGAAGAGGACGGGTGGAGGCACCCAGGTGAATGGGGAGTCCAGGCTAACCTTTCCTTTTCCCTTTAACACTTTGCTGCTCTGACTGGCAAAGGTTCATTCCTTTTAGAGAAGAGTCTGTTGGTAAAGAGGTTGTAGCTTTAATACAGAAAGAAATTTTTAAGAGAAATTATACAAAGGAACTTTTTTTCTTGATTTGAGCCTTAAAATGTGGAGTGGAAGGGATGGAACATATACCAGGGCAGGAACACAGCATTTGTGTTGTGGTTTGTTTACCCCGGACTCTTTTATGGTTGGTCTTGGGTGTGGTGCTCTTGAGGACAGGGCGCCACCACCCTGACAGGCTGCAGCCGTGGGCTGTGGGCAGCCCCTCAGGATGGAGGTAGAGGGGAGGCTTTCCCTGAGGGAGAAGTTAACCTACGTTTAAACATGACCCTTTTATACCATCAGATCAGACAGCAGATGGAAGAACAGGTTGCCCAAAAGTCCTCTGAACTGGAACAGTATTTGCAGCGAGTACGGGAGCTGGAAGACATGTACCTGAAGCTGCAGGAGGCTCTCGAGGATGAGAGACAGGCCCGGCAGGATGAAGAGACGGTGCGGAAGCTTCAGGCCAGGTGCCAGATCGGATTGCAGACTTTGCCTTTTTGTACTTTGCTTGATCTGATAGTTTCTTGGAATGACTAACACCCTGGTGGAGGGGGAGGAATGTCTCAGCCCTGGCTGTGACTGAGCTTGAGGTATTGTCCAGACTAGGGAGACCCTGGAGACTTGGCCAGCTGAGGTATTTATTCTCATTCTGGGGCTAAAGAGGGGCCTTGTATCTATTTTAGAGCAGTCTAGTGGGTATATTTTGTGGGGTACCCTTAATCATATTCTAGAATGTCCACAGATTCAGGATCAACTTTGGTGAGAACTTGGCTGCTACAACATGTTCCACATCAGAGAGGGCCCTTGGTGTGGAGGCCAGGACCTGCTCAGACTAGCGTTGCAGCCACATTTTGGGGTTAAGGAGGAAATATGCAGTTTCTATTTGGTCATTCAGGACTGGCAACATTCCTTCGATGACTACTTGAAATACCAAGTTTAAAAGTTTTTAAAACCTAGTGGTTTTTTTTTTTTTTTAAACCTTAGAGCTTTTAAGGTCATATTTACTGTTTATGGTAGTCTTGTTCTCAGATGAGAGCTCTCAATTTTGGGTCTTCACAGCACCGTGGAGGACAAAATAAAATAAAGACCCCAAAGGGAAAATTTGAGCTGTCCTATTCCAGTTTTTAACTTGCTGCCGCATTTGCATTCCTTAAGATGTCTGTCAGGGGGGCAATACTAAAAAATATTTTAGTATTTAGCTAGTAGCAGCAGCTGGTCAATGCAGATATACCTCGGCTTTGAGCTGTGACCCCCTGTTGTGAGAGTGGTTATGAAATGAGCCCTTCCACACGTGGAATAGCAAAAGGTGTTTTTTTAATCTTTAGGTAGGAAGACTAAAAGTGACTTCAAAAATAAATTAATTTGGGGGCCGGCCCGGTGGCGCACTGGATAAGTGTGCCACTTGGGAAGCGTGGCGGCGCTCCCGCCCGAGGGTTCGGATCCCACATACAG